GGATGGAGCTTATCTGCAGGCCAGGAGCTGTAAAGGAGGAAAACTAAGGGTTACACAGTGGCTAAGTGGTTAGCATGTCTGCCTGGCAGTACTAGGGTTGCTGGTTCACATCCCAACCACGGCACCACCTGCCTGGAGTTTGCATGTTCTCCATGTGCCTGCCTGGGTTTTCTCCAGGTACTCTGGTTTCCTCCTACACTCCAAAGACATGCTGGTAGGTTAATTGGCTCCTGTCTAAAATGGCCCTAGTATATGTATGAATGTGAGTTAGGGACCTTAGATTGTACACCCCTTGAGGGTTAGGGACCAATGTGAATATACAATATACAGTATATGTAAAGTGCTGTGTAAATTGATGGTGCTATATAAGTACCTGAAATAAATAATTAACTTGCTGGCCCCCTAAGAGAGGACCACCAGCATGGAAAAGCCCAGCTGATAGGCCTGGTAGCAGCCACCAAGTGGTACAGGAGAGGATCTGAGAGAGTATGTCTATACCCCCTGGGAAGAAAAGGGAAGGAGCACACTGGTGGAAAACCAGGTTAGCCACCTACCAGTGACTGTTTATCTTTGTGGCAGGAACCAGATCCTCTGTTCAGGGACACCTCCAGATTGCTGGGTGAAGAGAAGTTCATCTAGGGTCTTGGGTGTTACAGTAAGGAGACACTGCCTAGCTCTCCAACAGAGACTCTGCTGCAGAGAAGGCTTGTAAATAGTTCCAGAAAGTTGTCCTCAGTTATCGGTACCCTTGGGCATCCTGTACACCCCTAACCCTATACCAGTTCAAAATCCCCTAAATAAAATAACAAAACAAAAGCTCAAGGATTGATTTCTGACTCTGGATGCAAGCTTTTGTGAAGATGAGTGATGCCTGGCTGTGCAGGACTATAGGGGACCAAAATTTTTTAGCGACACCTAAGGTGGTACTGCTACATATACATTAATCTGCTTAGTTTCTAGCTATATTATGAATGCATGTGTGTAAATAGTGAATATTGCTTGGCTGTATAGGTATGACGGTGTAGAAAGATGACAATTTGAGATAATCTGTTACTAACCAAAGAGGGACTTGATATGTAGTTGATCACTAATTAAAGTGACGCCTTTCCACTGTGCTCTAATGTTACAAAGTAATTAACTCTAGGCATGGGCAATCTAAATAATTATAACCAGTCTGCAGACACAGAAAAAAGACTACTTTTTGCTTTGGAGCCAGATATTGAGATAAAAATTACCAACATGATTAATATTGTTACTTTAATTAATCATCCCTGTCCGCCTGTGGAGGCAAAGTGATATTCCCATTGTGTCCAAGTATTAGCAAGCGTGTGACGCACATCCCTTTTCCTTCATATGACAAGACCAGTATTTGATGACCTATCACTGTTCTGGCATAAGTCTAAGAGATTGCAAAAGCAGCCTAAAGTTGACCAAATGAAGGCCAGAAGGAAGTCAACTACAGGGCCAATGCACCTTACGTAGGAGGAGAAGAAATAGGTCACATTAGTAGTCCAAAAAAATTGCACAGACACATTTCCCTCTCCATCCTATCACATCAAAGCCTTCTCCTCCTCTAGGAGTTTCTAATTACTGTCTGTGATGACCCAGCTCCTCCACCCCTCACCTCCTTACATGATCTTTAAAGTTTAAGTTCACTTTTACAGAAAATCTGTAAGATGACCTTTCTCTGTACCCCCTTCAGTACTGGAGTCCCGCAATCCTCTGCTGTCAGACACCAGCATGCTACCTTAGTGGTCCAGGAATTTTGAATCCCTGTGACTTAACCATTTGCCAACCCGAATGATGGCTACAGCGTGGTTGTCCAATTCTGGGAGGGCGTCATATGACATTCTCCTAGAACGCGCCCAGCAGTGCGCACCCGGTGATCTCCGTGATCACTGTGTCCTACGGACACAGCTGATCAAATAATGAGGTAAAAGGCCAATCACAGCAGCCTTTTAAACTTGGTGATCAGCTATGTCCAATGACACAGCAGCAAGGGAGGATGTCACCAGCACACCGAGGATCACCAATATGGGTCCAAAAGTTTTAATGAATGATTAAATAGTTGCAGCAAGGCAACATTTCGGAGTCTCGCAGGACCCCTTCATCAGGCATGTAACATGCCTGATGAAGGGATCCTGTGAGACTCCGAAACATTGCCTTGCTGTAACTATGTAATCATTCATTAAAACTTTTGGACCCATATTGGTGATCCTCGGTGTGCTGGTGACATCCTCCCTTGCTGATTCTGCCGCTGCAGCACCCACTTATACACACAGCCATTTTTAAAGCAGAAACGTGTGCGTTTGGATTGTACACTTACAATGACACAGCAGATCACAGTATAAATACAGTTGCCAGTTATCGGTTACAGTTGCCAGTACTGCCGATAATCAGCAAATGACACAGAGGACATTTGCACCAATCATCAGGGCACTGATCATCAGTGTCCTGATGATCAGTGCCCAAAAGTGCCACCCATCAGTACCCATCAGTGTCTCCCACAAGTGCACAGCAGTGCCTCCCACAAGTGCCCAGCAGTGCCACCTATCAGTGCCCAGCAGTGCCACCCATCATTGCCCAGCAGTGCCTCCCACTAGTGCCCAGCAGTGCCACCCATTAGTGCCCAGCAGTGCCATCAGTCAGTGCCACCAGTTAGTGCTGTCAGTCAGTGCCACCCATCGGTGCCCATCAGTGCCATCTATCCTTGCCCATCAGTGCCCATCATTGCAGCATATCAGTGTAGCATCATCAGTGTCTCCTCATCAATGCCCACCAGTGCCGCCTCATCAGTGCCACCTCATCAGTGCAGCCTATCAGTACCCATTAGTGCTGCCTATCCGTGCCACCTCATCAGTGCCCATCAGTGCTGCCTCATCAACGCACATCAGTGAAGGAGAAAAATTACCTGTTTGCAACATTTTATAATAGAAACAAAGTCCTCCCAGTACGCGCCCTTACGCATGCCCCCAGCGGCACGCACCCGGTGATCTCCGTGATCACTGTATCCTACGGAGGTAAAAGGCCAATCACAGCAAACTTTTACCATGTGATCAGCTGTGTCCAATGACACAGAAGATCACAATGTGAATACAGTTGCCAGTCATCGGCAGTACTTTCCTCATGCTGTCACAGCGTGAGGAAAGTATTGCTGATAGTTATAACCGTCAAATGACACAGAAGACATCTGATGATCAGTTCCCTGATGAGCAATGCCGCCCAGCAGTGCCACCCATCTGTTCCATCAGTCAGTGTGATCAGTCAGTGCCGCCAGTCAGTGCTGCCAGTCATTGTCACCCATCAGTGCTCATCAATGCCACCTATCAGTGTCCATCAGTGTCCATCATTGCTGCATATCAGTGCAGCAGCATCGGTGCCTCCTCATCAATGCCCACCAGTGCCGCCTCATCAGTGCAGCCTATTAGTGCTCATCAATGCTGCCTATCCATGCCACCTCATCAGTGCCCATCAGAGCTGCTTATCAGTGCAGCCTCACCAAGGCACATCGGTGAAGGAGAAAAATTATCTGTTTGCAAAATTTTATAATAGAAACAAAGAAAAAAATATATATTTTTTAAATTTTTGCTTTTTTTTGTTTACAGTGCAAAAAATGAAACCCCCAGTGGTGACTAAATGCCACCAAAAGAAAGCTCTATGTGTGTGAAAACAATGATAAAAATTTCATAATGGTACAATGTTGCATGACCGCACAATTGTCATTCAAAATGCCACAGCACTGAGAGCTGAAAATCAGCCTGGGCACAAAGGGGGTAAAAGTGCTCGGTAGGCAAGTGGTTAATGTCCTTTCCATACTGCTCCAGAACAGGTCACAGGGATTCTAATTGGTCAAACCAATCATAGTCTATATAGCCAGTCCTGCCAGCACTGTGAAGAGAGGAGCGAAAGCAGCAGGGATTTCAAATCCATGAACCTGGCAACAGGGTCTCTTTAACTGGCCAGAGTTTACCAAGAGATGAAAAGTTAGGTTAGGGTGGACAACAGTTCAAAAAAAGCAACATGTTATTAGTAATAGAATGTACCTCTTCCAGCTGTTTATTTGCTGTACTTTTTCCTTACTATACATCATTCCTGGGGGATTGAAACTGGTTACAAGGCTTGTCCAAATACATCTCATTTTTCTCTCTGGCTTCCTTCTCTGTGATAATTGGAATACTGTAGTGGATATTATCCAAAACTCCACTTAATTCATTTGGAGGATAACCTCACTTACATCTATCCAATACATTTTGCGATTAGTCTGGATATGTCCTGCTGTGACACATTGCTAATATTTTATATATTTAAGAGATAGACTTTATTTGCCCTGTGATGTTTCACCGCTTGCGGGATCCTCAAACATTTGACAGCTCAGGAGCCACACTAAAAAAAACCCAAGTTGTTGAGCCATACTAAGTAGAAAAAAGCTCGCAAACGTGTGTTATCAATAAATAGTACATAAACTTTTATTTAATTTAGCTAAAGGCCAAGTCCACCCAAAACAAATATTTCTTTTTTTGGCTTGACACCAGTGAACTGAATCACCCTCTGGTTTCATGTATCTTTTGGGGCCTTCAGAGGCAAGATATTTCCTCTAGAATTCCTGGCTCTGCCTCTCGGTACAAAGCCAAATGAGGGTGTCATGCTATATTCCTCCTAATATAAAATAAGTGAATAAATGTAAAATCCAGAAGAGTGTGACATCATTGTAATGGCCTTGGTGGAGTAGTGGAATTCAAAACATCAGCTTGTTAGATTCTCCACCAGAGTTGCTGAGAGGTAAAGGAAAGTTAGTCAGTGAATCAGGCCACATGTCTCCACCAAAAAGTCAAAGAAACATTGCCAGAGGACTTATCCTTTAAATTACACAATATTGCCAAAAGTATTGGGACACCCCTCCAAATCATTGGATTCAGGTGTTCCAATCAACTCCATGGCCACAGGTGTATAAAATCAAGCACCTAGGCATGCAGACTGCTTCTACAAACATTTGTGAAAGAATGGGTCGCTCTCAGGAGCTCAGTGAATTCAAGCTTTGTTACCATGATAGGTTGCCACCTGTGCAATAAGTCCATCCGTGAAATTTCCTTGCCACTAAATATTCCACAGTCAACTGTTATAACAAAGTGGAAGCAACTGGGAACAACAGCAACCAAGTGGCAAGATGACAGATCGGGGTCAGTGCATGCTGAAGCGCATAGTGCACAGAAGTCGGCAACTGTCTGCAGAGCCCTGGCCTCAACCCGATAGATCACCTTTGGCATTAATTAGAACGGAGACTGCAAGCCAGATCTTCTTGTCCGACATCAGTGCCTGACCTCACAAATGCACTTCTGGAAGAATGGTCAAACATTCCCATAGACACACTCCTAAACCTTGTGGACATCCTTCCCAGAAGAGTTGAAGCTGTTGTAGCTGTAAAGGGTGGGCCAACTCAATATTGAACCCTACAGACTAAGATTGGGATGCCATTAAAGTTCATGTGTGTGTAAAGGCAGGCCGACCAATGCCTTTGGCAATATAGCGTATATTGAAAACATTGCTTAATTAATTTAACCAAGTGCAGAAACCTCAGTTGGATGATTTACTGTACCAATAAAGCTTGTGAGGCTGGACAGTGATTTCAACCCACCATTCTCCACCTAAAATTTGCTCTTACTTTATATATCCTTTATATGTATCCTGGTAGGCCAAAGCAGATTATGGGGCAATGAAGCATGAGCAGAGTTTCATTCAAAAACTACATATGAGGGTTCTTTAAAAGGTTTCTACACTTTTTTTTAACTCTATTGTATATATAAAAGTGTGGAAACTTTTTGAAGACCCCCTGGTATATAATGAAATTGTTAAACATTGAAGATCAAAACTACATCATCATACAGATAACACACTGATTATGAAAAATACTGGAAGAAGAGCTAATTGGAGGGTGGATGATTTTTACTTACCGGTACTTTCAATTAAGAGTGGAGATTTACTGTGCATTAGAATATTGTGTTTGCTTTGTAACCAAATTATTACCTATTTATTGCATCAACCAGTAAATAGTTGAATTTTTTCAGTGTGTGAACCTTACAGAATTACATGGTCCAGTTACTATTTCTGTCAATGACAATGAAATTTTGTCATAGCAGTAAGTTTGTTAAGCAGTAAGTTTGTTCCTCTTGGAGAAATGAAAACCACTGAACTGGACAGATCAAAAGTGAGGACTACCATGGCAAATAGTGAAAGAGGGAATGTTGTGATTATTTCAAATTAAGATTTTTTTCCCCCCAGTTTTCCTGTATTATGGTAAGGAGCAGGGGCGGACTAACAACTCATGGGGCCCCCGGGCAATAGGGGATTATGGGGCCCCTGTGTCCTTACCCAAACTCAAAAAAGCCTATGAAAAAAGTACCAGGGGCATCTCATGGGGCCCCCTATTGACCCTGGGCTCTCGGGCAGTGCCTGAGTTTCCAAATGGTCAGTCTGCCCCTGGTAAGGAGGAAAGAAGTCTGATAGAGGAAAGAAGCAAGTAACTGACCTGCCTTGTAAGTTGCACATGTAGTACTCAAAAATATTTTTGACATTGGATTTTTTGTGGTGAGCTCTCCTCCCCTCATTTACATATTCAAAGATATAAGCCTGGTAGGTTCATTTTTTCTTTTAGTTTTTGTTTCACATGTAGCACTCACCCGTGAAAGGACCTGCTGACTAGTCCCAGGTTATAATCCCACACTAGTGTAGTGGCAGCCAAGCACACAGTACCAGTCACTCTTCTGGCTCAAACAGTCTAGGGGTTTCTTTCTTGATGCTTTATTGTACGTTGAACTTGAACAGGGTGCAGGGAAACTGTGGGATACTCAAGTAGCACAGTGCAAGAACACTCTTCAATTTGTCAAAACCTCTTAGCACAGTCCTTCTAGCAACAACTAAGGGAATGAGCAGCACTGAGACACCATAAGCAAGTACTGGCACTGCTGCACAAAGGAATAGCAGCAGCAAACAGTCACTAGTATCCTACATTCGGGTCTGCACTCACAATGTCCCTAGATACTTGGCTACCTCCTTCCAAAATCAGATAGACATTTCTCCTGTGAACTCTCCAGACCAGATCCTCAGAGGAATCCCTTGATCAGCTCCAGCTATTTTCAGAAAAATAGGCCCCCCCAGCTATAGCTCAGCTGGGACCTTGATGAACTCCTGTAGCAGCAGCAGCCCTTCAGGCTGGGAACCTCTCCTCCTGGACAAGAACAGGGCAGCCTTAGGCCCCAGACTATTTATGCACTACTCGGTCACCTACTGGCCATCCTCCCCCAGGGATTGGTTGGGATCACATAAATATTCAGGCTGTGAATTTGCCTCTTCCAGCCCACTACATTCCAGAATCCTTCTGAAGGCAGGGGGAAGCGGTCAAACCTGCAGCCAATGAAACCTAGAACAGCCTAGAGTAATTACAAACTACTCTACTGATTACAGGAGACAAAAAGAAGTAAAGTTAACCAGCCTATCTAGCAGCCCAACTAGGAGGGTGCTATACACATATACTGTACTTTCAAAACCTCTAATTACCTTTTGAAGGCATCACAGAATAGTTCTCATCAGCTTTGTGTAGGTGTTTCAAGAGAAGAGCTCCTTCTTTGGAGCAAACCAGATTGTAAAGGGTATATGGTCGGGTATCAGCATACTGAGGGGCTAATACATTTATGCCCCCTATGCTCCTTATGCGCTGAGCTAATATTTTTTTTTTAAAGAAAGTCTAAGAAGACAGCTAGGATCTTTAGACACTGGTCAGAGGCATCAGGGCCGCCTGGTGTACTTTCAATGCCTGAACAATGTTTTAAACTCAGTAGAAAATTGCTTAGCTATAGGGAGTGAGGAAAGTGACATAGACAGGCCTAAAACACCCAGCGTGTATTAATATGAAGTTACCCAGAAGACAAAGAATGACATAAAATGTGATGAGGGGACACAAGTTCAGCTCACGTCAGCTCCTTGTGACCTAGTACAAGTCACCCAGCACAAGTGTCTTTATCTCGCAGTGCCTCGGGCACCTTGTACTCTGTGCAGAGAGGTCTCTCTCTGTTCCTGAAGGATGATAAAAGATTTCAAATTTAATGGCTCATTTCTATCTGCAAATCAATATACAGGGAAGCAAATGTTTTTACTTTTAGTTAGTCCCGAAATTTGGTCTATAACAGGGGTCCTTCAGGGCCCATTTATATCCTTGAGTTATGGTAAAGGCAGTGCATTATATGCACTGCATGAATGACACCCCAATGCAAGAAAGCAACATACCTGCATTGCAGCGTAGTGCGTTTAGTGCGTTGCATTACAAGTTTGTGACGTGGCCAATTTTCAGGACGTTTTTGCGCATTGGCACCCCATTATGTTCAATAGGCTGCCTTATTGCAACACACATTAATGCACAGTATTATTATAACAATAAGTTGGTCCGTTGAGTCAGTAGGGGGATATTTAACCATTTGCCGCCCGCCCTATGGCCGAATGGCGGGCGGCAAATGTCATTAGTGTTCCGGTTGGACGCCATATGGTGTCCTCCCACACATGCGCAGATTGCGCTCCTGCAGAGCAGCACAGCAGTGCGATCTGTCACCGGCCGTGTACCTCGGACACGGCCAATGACAGATCTGAGTATTGGCCCCGTTGCCGGTGCCATGTGACTTGCTGTGACCAATCACAGCAGGTCACATGACAGTTGTATACAATGGATGGCTTCATTCATGCCATCCATTGTATACTACTGCCTAGCTGTGAATGGTCACAGCTAATCACATGCACATGTCATGTGATTAGCTGTGGCCAAATCACAGCTAAGCACAAAAAAAAAAAACCCAGAATGAATCGATGTCATTCAGGTAAATGCTTGCTTATAGCAAAGTAATTCTTTGCTATAAGCAAATTGTGTAAAAAAAAAAAAAAAATACTGATCACTTCCCCAAAGTAGTACAATGTTACTATGGTAACATTGTACTACTTTGGTCATAGTGAAATATTTAATAAAAAATAATTAAAAAAAAATATATATATAATTTTTTTTTTTCTTACTGTCACCAGTCAGTGTCTCTGATCATCACCGCCATGTCAGTTGTATGATGACGCTGTACTGCACTGGTGACAATATGTAAAAAAAAAAAAATAGTGAAACAAATTTTTTACATTTTTTTCATTTTCCGAAAAATTATGACAAAAAAAATACAACTTCAAAAATCTCGCCATGCCTCTTATGAAGTACGTCGGACTGTCTACTTTGCAAAAAGGGGTCATTTGGGGGATATCTGTACTGTTTTGACATTCTTGGACCTCAAGAAATTAGATTGGCTGTCAGTACTTCAGGATTGATCAATATTCAGATCTATACCATAGTTTGTGAACTCTATTACTTTCCTACAAACTACAAAATACATCCTAATTTGGGTTATTTTCACCAAAGACATGTAGCAGAATACATCTCGGCCTAAATTTATGAAGAACAATTATTTATTTGCAAACTTTTATAACAGAAACAAAAAGAAAAAAAATTTTTTTTCAAAATTTTTGGTCTTTTTTGTTAATTTAGCAAAAAATAAAAACCCCAGTGGTAATTAAATACCACCAAAAGAAAGCTCTAGTTGTGTGAAGAAAATGATAAAATTTTAGTTTGGGTACAGTGTTGTCATTCAAAGTGTGAGAGCGCTGAAACATGAAAACTGGCCTGGGCAGGAAGGTGTAAAATTGCACGGTGTTGAATTGGTTAACAAAACTGGTGCGCTTAGAATCTGGTGCAGCTGTACATGGCAGCCAATCAGCTTCCAACCTCAGCTTGCTCAATTAAGCTTTGGCAATTAAACCTGGAAGCTGATTGGTTTCTATGCAGAACTGCACCAGATTTTGCACTCTCCATCTTTAGTAAATAACTCCCAGTGTGCCAGAGTTGCTCAATTACATAGTTGGTGAGATTGAAAAAAGACACTAGTCTATCTAGTTCAACCAACAGAGAAAAAAAAAGATGTTAAAAACCCTCATTAACACTCTTGATGTTGGGGCTCTCTATCTGACACTCCTGGAAGTGTCAATTTTGCATCTGGATTGCCAGCCTGATATCTGTGCTTAAAGAGGTATTAATGAGCAGTTTAATGACTATACCTTATTAATAACTGCTGGACTTCACAGCAGTAGAGTTGGTAATGTTTTTGCCTTTAATAAAAGTGTTCTGTAATACGATTTCTGTGGTATCAGGCTAGAAGGTCACAGACGTCTGCTGCAACCTCAAGTCTTTGACCAGGTGAAATTGAAATAATTCACTGCAGCTGGCCAGATTAAAATCATAGGTT